TATGGAAAAGCCATTGGAGCAGAGGTTAAGAAATTGATCGAATCGGATTATCGAGAGAACACATCCAGATGGCCTAGCCAATACGTTCCAGTCATTAAGAAGAACGGTAAATCAGGATTTACATTGACTTAGTACCCTGATACGACATGTCCAAAAGAGACTCTTCCTCTGCCCAATCACAGATTCATCTATCGACAATACTGTGCGGTTTTAGAGAGAATGTCTTTTATGAATGGTTTCAGGATATAACCAAATAAAAGATGCACCCAGATGACAAGAAGCATATTACACATTAGAACGCCTCTCGTGCTTTTGCTATACCGCTAATGCTTTCGCGTCTAAAAATGCAGGCCGCAATACCAACGAGCCAATGACTAAGATTTCAAGAACATCTCAGCGAAAACAGCGAGTGCTCGTGATTGATCTGGTTGAAAAGCCGTAACAAAGAAGATCACGATCAAGGACTTGAAGACATGTTCGATCTATGCCGAAGTCCATCAATGAGATGAACCCTACTAAATCCTTTCCTTGGAATGTCTACGTGAAAATTCCTTGGATTCGTTGCCCACTAAAGCGTATAGCATATCGACCCCCGATAAGGGTGAGCGATACCATGAACATGATAACCTAGAAATCTAGAGAGGCTCAGAGATGCGAAGGCGGCGATAGGCTTACATCGGCGTTCATCTCAATCTTTTCGGGAAGTTCAACAAGTCTTAAGCCTAAACAGAAAAGGGTGTCATTCAACGGACGATGCCTGCCAAAAAGCATTTCCGGAAATATCAACATATCGACGAATCTCCTGTTCTCGTTCACCAAATTCAGGATAGACCGTCTTGATTTATCTCAAGCGATGATAATGTCACGAACAGGCAGTATACCATAAGCGACCTTGATAAAGCGCGAGTCTCGATATCGATGATTGAGAAGAAGGCTCGCATTGCTATGGCGATGCAAAGATGCCGGCATTATTAGTTGGACAGACGATCTATGTCATTTAACGTTACCAGTGCGGTATATACGCAACCGGCGATGAATTGGCGTTAACGAAGTGGGCCCTTCTTTGTCGCCCAATATATTTGCACTTCAAACAACAGAAGTCGATCAAAGGACTGCCGATTTGCCGATCTTTGGCCTGGCAAACCCGACCACAGATACGGCCAGAATATATGATGACTTGCCGCGGATGAAACCACGAGGCGTTCGGGAACACTACGTCGCACCCAACAAGGTATGCCTAATTATATCTTCGATGCGTGTTCAGGCAGTTAATAGGGTAAAAACCCCGGGAGGTCTACATTCTCCTCCGGCGGTTGGGTTGTCCTAACTCCAGCGGGAAGATGTGATGCCTGGAGCTTATTCATTTGACTAGTCCGCGCTTGTCCAATAACGTAGCCCGAGTACAACGCGTTCATTTGACTCCAGTTCGCCAAGAGCTGGGATTGGGCTCGAATATCTCCCAAGCTTTTTGAGGATTTCTCAATGATTAGTCAACCAAGTCCGTGGGAGAGTTATTTGAATCAGGAACCAGACCTGATTCCCGTACCACCCAGGGAGGCCATCAAATTGCAGAATCTGTGAAGAATTCATGGAATCACATCCCTGTCTCCCGAGAACGCCAAAACCACCCCCCCCACCCACCGCTATGCCAGATGCCACCCTGGCAGCACTAGCGGTATGTGCACAGAGGATTGTAAAAGAAAGGGAAAAGTCCGCCGAAGATCACCAAGACTCTATATACGAGATCCATACGTACACGTAGAGGGACAATGTAGTACCTCGGAGCGTGCGAACAAAGAAGCCAGGGAAGGAAGGGTCGTTAGGGAGGCCACGAACTGTGAAAACCAAGCCGCTGGAACAATGTTTGTTGCCTGGAAGTGAGTATGTTTTCTTGGGTGCGCATTCAGGCTCCAAGTCCTCTCAGTAAATGCTGATATGAATTTTATTAGGCAAAAAATACGTTGATTGATGTTTGGTAGGCTTTTTGACTTGGGTATCGGTAATTGATTGGCCAGTGGATCAGCTGTGTGTACTTTTGGCTTTTTAACATTAAGTTGATGCAGATTTTTACTTCTAACATAGTCCTCTTCCATCTTAATCAGTACTTTGATTCTTGTATCTTGCTATTCCTTGGAGTCGTGCCATAAGTACCTTTAATGCCATGCTGTTGAAAACTTAAAATTATGCTTGACACGCAAAGTTTTTCCTGCCTTGTCAATGGTGGACTTAACTGTGGATTTAACTCAAATGCGGCAGGTTTAAAGATCGCCTACTTGCAATACATTTCTCAATTTCCATTGAGTGTCGAGCTTAGAGGAGCCGTCCTAACCCGCGATACTCGAAATTATTTCCGCAAGCTTAAGTGGGGTACGGTTGCGATCCAGAGGTTTAGTGCTAACGCTGGTTGCCAGAGGCTCCACCAGAGAATATTGAGACCACTGAAAATTTCGGATACCGGCCCGAGAGATTAGATTGTTATGATTGGGACAGTGTTCATAGGACAAATTTGCAGACCTCTATTGCCAAATCAATTGCTTCTAGGTAAGTTTCAACTTTCTTTGCTTCCAGAATTTTCCAATTCGACTAAACCATCGACATGAGGATTATTGCAATTGGATGCCAGATGTTACATGTTGCATGTCATAGCCGTCAACTTATAATCTTGATACCTACTAGGTCTTTGGGGCATGGTACCCCATTGCTGTGTATTACAGATAGAGGAATGGTATACATGTCGGGACTCCCCTTCTTTCCCGCCCAACCTCATCCGATCCCCTTCTAGTCAAAACCATAAACCAAGATCCTGATATTTGTCATCATAACTCTGAAAGGTGCTTTCTTTCAATTTCTCAATCTTCAGGTTTACGAAAGATTCCAAATGCTAATTCTCCTTCAATGAACACCATCAATTGGATAGTTTTTTTCCAGTTAGTTGTGAATATATTCCGCTCAATCTCGCAAAGGTTTATCTCATAAGCCATACAGATTTACCAACCTTTGGACGTGTGTAGCAGTGTTATTGAATTTACTATTGAGCACCAATCATGACTAAAAGTAGACTAAGGCCCTCGGTCGACAGTTTCCTTCTCTTTGATAGAGATTAAGATGCGACGATAATTGTTGCGCTTAAAACTTATAATTTTCATCGATTCATACTGTCGATGCTGCGCGTATATCGCATATCATTAAGGCTGTTTGAGAATTAGGCATGACTTATGCTTTCATCACTCTTTACAGTACCACCAAGTTATTATCTATCTCTTAGAACATTATCGTCTTTACCAATTCTCATATCTACTTTGCATTTGTAATTTCGAAAAGTCGTTAATCTTAATCGATGGCCTTAACATTTGCTTCTTTTAACCCAACACTGCGGCTTCTCAGTGAAGAATATACATGCCAAGGGAAGAGCAGAAGCAAAGACGATAGCATTATTACATTGCTGGACGACTCTTTACTACCTTGACGGAGATTCAAGCCTTCCTCCTGTACGGGAGTCAGATATCGAGCAACAGGGCTCTTTTATAATGCCTATTCTACTTATTCATTAACCCAGGTAATTTATTCAAAAGCGTCATCAACTACTTCGGTCCAAGAACATATGCCACTCATTAAGCTTAATGGTTAGGCAGAGTGAGTCTAACAGAATCAACCGGTGTTGTATGGATGATGCTAGGAAACAAAATTCCTAGTAGCTAAAGTATTTAATCTTCTTCTTATTCCACTGTCTCAGTCTATTAATTCTATTGCTTCTGTCATCCGCCTCTAGATTTGTGACGGACCTACGCGATATTTAATTTTATTTCATTATTCTGATCGAGCCGCTCATAATTATTTGGAATCTGTTCTTCTGCCAAATAAGCGACAAGGGAATTCTGCCTCTTTTTACCATCTCCTGATAATGCACTGCTATTGTTATTGATGCTATGATAATATTTGGCTTATTCAACTACGCTTTAAGATTGTCTCTTATCTTTTTACAGCGACTAATACCCGTTGATTCTAGATTTTCTCTATTAACTCTTGTCTAAGTACTGATTTACTGCATGAGAGTGTTTTCAAACTTGCTTTTTATCTCCTTCCCCATTTTACAGTTCTTGAGGGTTATGGGCCAAAATTGTAAGAATTAGTCCGAAGTTGCGACAAGAGATGGTTACAAAATTGAAAAGAATACTATACCCACAGCTGTAAAAATTGAACTAATACTAGAGCCTTGGCCTCTTCCGCCGATTATCTTATTATTGAGCGCCACCAGTTTTCGTTCTCGCTTCTGAAATGCGCTAGCGTACCACAGGTAATTGATTATCAATACAAATCGTTTTTAGTTCTATTTTAAAAAGCGTCAGCATACTAATTATTTTTATGTATTTCATTTTTTCTCTCTATATAATATTCAATTCAGGATTACAATACGAGGTGTTTTAGTCGTGATCCAGCCCTCATAATGAGCAGCAAAGGAGGTTCTCCTTTCTCGTACATCATGCTTTACTTGGGTCAACCTATATTGAATCATTCACTTAAGACCCCGGTGAGCGCCGCTCTCTGCTGATGCTGCTCTGCTTTTTCCCCCCCTCACTCTTTGCCCAAAGATTGCTGACATTGTTTCTCTGAAGCTTTTCATCGGCGCCACCGCCTCTCCTAATCAGGTCATTTGTATTATTGCCTTATCTTCATTGCTCTACAGGATCTTCTGCAACCCTCATAACTTATCCTACTTTTGATATATAATTTTCTCCATTAGACTTCGGTTGAGGGAGTTTTCGAGTTGCATTCCAGCTGTTACCCGTGTTCATGCTTCTATGGATATCTTTGATGTTTGCCAACTCTACAGCTTCGCAGATGGAAAGGATGCTGATGGAAGGAATTAAACATATTGAGGGTGTGATGTTCCCTGTGCTAACACAAATCTCAGGTAGCGCCTAAATTATCTAACTGAACTCAAGAGCTTGTTTATACACTTCAGTACAAAATGGGTATTTATGAGTCATTTTGTCCAGGGATTTGAGGTTGCTATTGCAGCTGGAGCAAAGGAAGTCGCAGTATTTGCATCAGCTTCTGAAGCTTTTTCTAAATCAAACATCAATTGTAGCATTAAAGAAAGCCTTGCCCGTTATCTTGATGTCACTCTTGCTGCAAAGAAATTAGCCATACCTGTAAGAGGGTAAGTTCTGAGTGTTATCTACTATCTCTAGGCATTTCTTGAGTACCTTTTATCCAATTAAATATGATGATAATAGTTCAGAGGTGTCTGATTTGGGTTAAAGTCTTGTCAATATTCTGAGTGTTAATTGTTTTGATAAATCCTTCTTCTTTTTCATATTATTCAAACATAATTCGCTCTATGTGGATGTACTTGAATATACAGAAGGTCATAATGCTATAGGAGATGCATGTTCCATGGCGACTTTTGTTATTGTTGTGCTGCTGATTGTTTTGTCATAAACCTAATTCTTCTATTTCAGGGGAAGGAATGTATACATGCAATTTTCTTAATGGATCAGAATTCACAAGGACAAAAAGGGGATCAGGTTGGTATAGTGCATTTGAATCAGTTCTTGCTGGATTAATGAATTGTATTTTGTAATCCATGCATGTTCCATGTATTATTGTTCTTTAAGGATTTCAATTATAGGTTGTGCTGTGATAATATCGAAAGTAATCTATTTGCAACCGGAAATGTTATGTATAATTTGTTGCTATGTTTGTGAGCATGTTAATATAAATAGTGAAATAGGAAAAAATAATTTAAATATAATTTAATATATACGAATACAAAGTATTAATAGAAATACGAATACAAAGTATGTCGAAGTGTTTTACTTCATGTTCTCATTTACTATGATCATTTATTTAAGGTGAATCCCGTCAAGTATGGGCATATCTTTTTGGTTCCTTATGGTAAAAATAAAAATATGGATATAACTAGAGTTGTTTTTTGTATATCATGTTTTGTTGGTCATATATTTTTAACATGATCATACGAATTCCCTCCCTGTTTTCTTTTTATTTTTCCTTTTCTTTTTCTTTTTAACAGTAAAAGAATATTGCAATTTAATATTATACCAAAAACCTTACAGTTTGTTGCTACCTGTGGAACAGGCTGCTTACTTTGCAAACCATTTACCGGTGGAACTTTTTCCAGTTATCATTGTATATGACTGCAAGGATAACAAAGGAGTAAGCATATCTGAGATTGCAGATTATCCTCTTAAGACAATGATGTTTACAAGCCAAAACTTAAAATCAATTGTTGGATTAGTAGTTGAAATATGCTCTATTTTACATTAAGACAACAATTTCGTGTTCAACTTAATGTTCTCTGATTGTGCTACAAATGTTTTCCTGTTTCCTCAGGTAAATTCCAAACAACAGAGATGCAAATCTAAAGAAGAAAAAATGACCACTTTAACAAGCTCAGCAAGTCCAGCTCCAAACCTACTGTGAATATAATCATAATCCATGTAAGAATCATCAAGCGTATCATGCAAAAGTCCTGCAGCAACAACCGTCACATTAGCACCAATCTTCGCCAACAAAAGCACCGTCTCCACACAATGTTGCAAGTACGAATCACTGCTTGCTCTCATCGAACAAATCAAAATAAGCCCATTTCATTCTTCATAGAAATTATCAATAGAAAAAATCAATTTCATCTTATATTTTAGATTCTTCAATCCCAGAATCAAAAGAGCCAATACGTAGGAAACATAACATGGTGCTTAGAAAAAGGAAAGAGAAATCAGCTATACCATAACGGGAATAAAACATTATGATTCTTTTAGCCCTAAACCAACAGATATGGCAGGAATTCGTTTCATATTTAAAACTGATTATCTATAGACAAATGCAGATAATTTGAATGAGTGGAACGATAAGAGGCAGAAACGAATCCTTGACGACTATATGTTGCGTATGTCCTATTATGATTCTGCTGTTAAGCTTGCAGAAAGCAGCAATATACAGGTGATTTTGTTTTTGTAAGATATTTTTCTTAATCTTAAACTTTAGTTCATTATCTAATGCAAGATATATAGTATGTTTTTGATGTTTCACATCAAGTCATGGTTCCAAATCTGCATGCATTTCTTATCATATGCTATGCAAATACGCTCTCCGCGCTGTACACAAAACGTAAGAACCTTCTAAGATACTGCTATCATAAATAACTCAGTAATTATAATTTAGCACGTAAAATTTGCACCTGTACTTCTTCATATAACTTCTTCTCCCATGCATACAATCTGTCTAATGTGTCCTGATAGCTTCCAGATATCATACAACATTCTTCTGAGTAATTTCTGCTGATGAGGGGCCACTAAACAGAGAAGCAGGGTTAAATATCCTAGCTCCTGCACCGAGTAAAGATTTGAGACAACTATGTAAAAGCACAAAAATTAATTCCATATCGTCTACAATTTGATTACAAATCCCTTAAGATAAATACATATTATGCACGCGCATAAAATTTATTACATTTTATTTTGCAACTATGTCGAGTGAAGTAAGTATATGGTTCTTGGTTTTTAGCATCTTGCTGAAATTCAGGCACGACACTAATTGTCATCTACTTGGTATTTCTATGACAAATTTAGGATTAATCACCAATCAATATACCAAAATGGAAACTAAACTTTGCAAATATCGGTTTACGTAATGTTATATATCTCCAATCTCTGGAGGGGAGAAAAAGTAACACACAAGCACAGAGATGATACCTGTAAGTTCAGTTGGAGCAGAGTACTGAGCACTGTTTGCTTCGAGCATGACTTAGACCTCTTTCGCAGAATCAAAGGTTCTTACAAACTGGTTCTCGATTCAAAAATTCGTTTTGTTTTTGATTCGTTTATATATAGCTCTGTAAGTTAAATGACAAATCATTTCGGTCCTTTATTATTTTTCATGCTATAGAATTTAAAAATTTTGTCGACATGCTCCACTCACTACATTACTGTATGGGATTGAACCCATTTTCTTTATGCATTTATCTTGACCAACTCATGGTTTCAAATGACTGTACATTACTTAATTGACCATATTATGCTAATTTTAACCAAGCAATGGTAAACTGTTGGGCCGTGATTGTGATATAGATTCATCTTCGAGCGGCTAGAGACCAACTCTCAACCTGCGAATGTGGAGGCTATTTTATCTACAACAAATAATCAAAAATTAACAGTGCATCATAGTCAAATTAATCTGAACGATTGGCTCCGGCATCTCTCGATGACCAAGGTTTCCAAGACATGAAACATCTTTGCTGTATTATTGATGTGAAAATTGCACCTTAATTCGGTACAGGTAAAGTTACTTGAAACTCTATAAACTATCATGAGATTTGTAGTTACATAGTAGTTAAGCTTTTATCAAAAGAATTACATCTCACATAAATACAATTTGGGATAATTCTTAGTTGCTGTTGTGTAAATTTCTTGTAAACTTATGAGGACCATTTCTCTCAGGTCAACAAGTTGCTGTTGTGCTATTTGCAGAATAGTTAACGGAAATAAGAGGGAGAGAGGGGTGATCAAGGAACAAAAGCTATTAAGCGAGAGGGTCCTACTAAGCTGGAGGATGGTGAATCTGCCAATTATAAACTAAATTTTTTTGGAAAATCTAAGATTGTAAAACAGAAAAAAAATGGTAGCGATTAACTACAGAAAATGTTGACAAGCTGTTTATTTGTATTATAGAAAATTGTTGGCATATGTTGGATGATTGCGGACAAATATGATTCAAGATTTTGCATTGAACAATTTTTCCCAATAACTTACAATAAAAGTGCAATCATATACAAAGTTATTTTGTCAGTTATTCTAATTGGGTATTCTATGTTTTATGTAGCCTTAATTTACTCTCATGTAAATAACATTTAAGTTCTTATTTCATTACTTCCATTCCATGATTTTATAACAAAACTTTATAAATACAATTATAAATTTTTTAAAAAAACCACGTGCATTGCACGTGCAATCCAACTAGTATATATATATATATATCTATCTATCTACCCTTTAAAAGAGGGAGTTCTTAAAAAACTTTTCCTAGCCTAAAATACCCTTCATCTATTGTAAATATAACAACTTTATCCCTTTTTATTATTGTTAAACAGAGTTCAGAAAATTGGGAGCCCTAATCCTTCGTTCCTTTCATCCTCCTCTCCGTCGGTTATGAAATCCTTCGTTCCTTTCATCCTCCTCTCTGTCGGTTACGACTTCACTCTAGCAATACCCTCCCACTTTCTTAAATCATTAATTGCCAACGATGAGTATTATTGCCCTCATCATCTCCGCACCTCCCCTGCCATCATCTCCCCAGTTCTTAGATTTTGGGCATTTGTTCGGATCAAGAAGGAAAATTATCGAAGAAGGTAACATTTCATCCTTTTCTAAATTTGATTTTGATTTTGAAATTTATATCATCGTTATCTTATTTACGGTAGGAGCTTGTTAACAAGATTTGAGTGCAAATTATTTTTTTGTAAAGTGCATAAATGTATTAGCCTTCTTAAGTACTTTGTTGAATCGTTGCAAGTTGGAAATACTTGAGGACACCAGGTCTCTTTTCCATTCTGAGCCCAGTCTTTTTCTGTGGTTATTCTTTATTTTTTCTGTTTTCAGTTCTTTGTGATGACAACAGTGTCATGTTCATAATACCAAAAACCTCATATCAATGCAATTGTTTAATTTAGCAGGTCTGTATATGAAGATTGTTATGAAAGGACTTATGAAAATTGTCATGTTCATACTACCAAAAAACTCATATCAATGCAATTGTTTGTTTGTAGAATGTTGGATCACATTGTAACCTTTGTTCGCATTGCCATGACCTCCATACAGCTCTCATAGGAATGTTCACAACGCCTTATCTCAAAATGAAACACCAAATAAAACTAAAAACAAAATCAAAAGCAATTTAATTCCTTATTACAAAATTAGGATTCCGATTCCTTATATACTTTGGACTTGGATTAGTATATTTTTTATAAATAAAGGTAAACAGGAGGGGAAAATCATCTCTCTTTTCTGTTTCTAATTACTAATTCTACAAAAGTTAAAGCCAAAATAACCTTTATTGCATTGATTCAAATATAATGCTTCCCAAATAGTACAATGCAAACAACGTTGCTTTTAGTTAGGTCTTTATATAAAATTATCCTAACTACAAGTAGTAATGTAAATAATGTGCTGTGAACTTAAGTTTTTACTAATATAATATAAAAAGTGGAATGTTTATTTTGGAAGTTAATTACCAATTGGTAGCTCACACAATTATAAAAAATAGAGTAGAGTTTTGCATTCTGGTTAAGTTTACAAAAACCACAAATGTGCATACTCTGTTTACCATATGCATATATTCTGATCAAACATATCTGAAGTAGAAGTCATTATTAGCTTATAAACATAGTTTCTTTAGCTTTGTTAGTAACCATTTAAGTTATGCCGACCACCTTAAAAATTAAAGGCTCGTACAAAAATGCTCATAAATGTTTGTAAGGCTCATTTTGGTCTATTATTCATTGTAGCTTTCCACTTGGCCTGTGCTTTTCCCTTAGCTAAACTTGAGCAAGTTAATGAACTGTCATGTCCCTGTCACCAAGTTCCATATTTGCCAATGTTTTTTTACCATGTAGCTTATATGTCATTGATCTAAAAATATGGGGTAAGTGGGTAACTATGGCTTAGATGTGAATGGTATAAGATTGAGGAGATAAATCACTTGATGAAAAGCGTTAAGGTGGAAGATATGTAGGCTGAAGAAGGTCATTGATAAAGATGAATATATGATTCTGATGGATAGATAACTACTCAAAGGAGGTACGCTCTAAATCTGTTTGTATCATTTGCTCTTGATGTTGTCTACGTTGATATAAATATCAAAAAATGCAATAGCCAATGCACAAGTGAGAATGCTTTGTTGTTTTAAGGTAATATGAGGAATACAGAAGCATTAAAGAATTTGTGTATTACTTATCCATACATATCAGGCCCAGTGGTTAGGATCATGAAGAGAATGGAAACATAAAGTACTTTATTATTCAATTTGAGTACCAATATTTTCTACCTGGAGCATGTGTAGGACACAGTATTGTATCCATAAGTGCCATACAATCAATAAAAAAGCTTACATGTTATAGGCTTGGTGACTATGGAGGCATGATGATGAGAGTGATATCGAGAGTAGAGGAAATGATGGTGCAGTGCTCTGTGGAACCAGTAGTAGAGGAACTCGACTGGACCCATATGAAGCAAAGCCATCATTACTGCTCCATCAGACCTCCAAAAAGGTATGTTTCGAGCGCTTGGAATGAACGATCGTCCAATATATTATAACAAACCATTGAGCATGATCTGGTCATCCCTGTCTTTGTTATTTTCATAAAAAATCAAGAAATATTTATTAGATCCAACAGAACCTTTGATAACAAAATTAAAGCTGCAACGTCTTACCGAACATTGATTTTCTACATGTTAGCAATAAGTTTCTTAGTATGAATAATAAGTTTAACGTGGTTGCTATCTATCACAGTTTAATAACAAGTTTAACGTGGTTGCTAACTATCACAGTTCTTCTGTTGGTGGTCAGCGCTTATGACAGGATAGCAATCAAAATTAATGGAAGTGAAGCTGTTACCAATTTTGACACAACTACTTATGATGGTGAAATACTTCCTCAAACCAATAATAGTGGTATTACTGGTTCGTATATCTTACTCCTATCATAAATAAGAATATTACTCCTATCATCATTACTTTGAGCATAAATATATATTGGCTATATTGCTTAGAAAAAATAATAGTGGTATTGCTTAGGGGAAAAAAATTCTTTCTCTGGTCTGTTCATTATCATAAATAAGAATATTACTCCTATCATCGTTATTTTGAGCATAAATATATATTGGCTATATTGTGACTGCCCATGCTTTTGGTGGCTAATTTTTAGCCTTATAAATTTTCCAGGCACAAATAGCACTGAATAATGTGGATGCTGCGATACAAAGTTTCAAAAAACCACTAGAATTAGAGCCAAATGATGGTGATATATCTTCGTAAATTTTATTTTTTTTAATTTCTTAAGCATGTTTCTACCATACTGATGTGTTGCGATCTCTCTTAAAAATATATGTTTGTTTGAAGGAAAAATAAAGGAGGAACTTCTTGTTGTGAACAAGAAGGTAAGTGGAATTATGAGGCCATTTGACTGCATCTTCAATTACTCGAGGATTTTATATAATATCTCTGTGAGTAGCATACATTTTGTTTACTCTTGCTTGCATGCTTTTTTTCTTCAGCTCAATTAGCACTTCGTTCATCTCGTTAAACATTAAATTCAGACATCAGAAAAAGTATACAGAGATATTTATTAGCTATCTAAAATTGGTAGTGGTAATAGGATAACAGCGAAAGATGTAAGTGAAGGATTTTCAAACATCTATATTCCTATTATTAATAAAAAATTATCCAACAAAATTTATGCACGCGCAACAAGTTCTCTATGACTAAATCTTAGCAAATACAAAACACACAAAAGATTTACAAATAAGATATTGCTTGATTTTAATAAGCAATTTAATAGATCAACACACGTTTAGAAATTATTTGCAAAATATTAGTTTTCAGATGATACTGAATGTAGAATAATTATTCAAAGCATACATTAAAGATGACACATAAACTAATACCTGAAACATTAAACATCAAACATGTTATTTTCAAACCCATAATTAAGCCAAAGATGCAGTTTACACTCTTCACTCTTTCTTCTCTCTATGCATTGTAATAATAATATAACATTCAGACTTATGTTCCCTTGTGCTTATAATTGCTTGATTTGTTGAGACTTACCCTGTTTATTTTACTATACATTGCAAGAGCGATTGAAAGAAGCTAAAATCAAAACATGGAAAAGTTCAACTTGGCAACATCACTGTGGATATGGTGCTCATCTTAACAAATTATGGATATGTCAATTTTATGTTTCCCATGTGGCTATGTGGGCAACACACCTATTACTAGCACATAGCCGATAGTGTGCGGATAACGTTAATTGATCTCAAATCTTTGAATTTTGATAGGTTATAGGTGGAATGAGAGGAATGACTGGATTATTGTGAGAAACATTATTACTTGATCCTGATGACGTGAGTTTGGTTGTAATATATGCTATGTATTGAAGACAAGTGCATTTTTTTTAAAAATATTGCAAAAAAATAAAAATTTGATACAACATCAATAGACTTTTGGTGTGCTTCCTTCTAGAATGTCTGAGCCTGGCCAAAATATTTAAATAAATGACGCAACGTTTATATTTTCTGCTACAAGCGGTGGGAAGGAGCCATTGCCCGAGGGTCTTGTGTGGCTTCTTTTGACTGGAAAGGTGATTATTGACTTGCTTCTATTGTAATCACGAGGACAATTTTCATGTATTTTCCCTAATTATTGCCAGTGTTTGTTTGTTATTTTTGGTGCTGTTTTACATGATATCTTATTGTGTTCGGAGAAAGATGCAAAAGTAAAATGCACCTTAAGCAAGGTAATTTCTTGAATAATTTATATTCATTTACTTATTTATTATTAATGCTAACTTCCGTAATTACCCCTACCAAGTGTAATTAGCGTAAATAAAACACATATTAGAAGCTTACGTGTCAAGAGAAAAAAA